TTACTACAATTTTTTATCGTAGCAAAAAGAAATACTCTTTTGCAACAAACTAAGTTGTTATCTTTCATGAAATTCGTTGCAAAATATATATGATATTATTCCCTATAATATATTTCGTTGCCTATAAGATTCAAAGGCAACAAAAATATCTTGTTACAAAAACGTTAATCTTTAGCCACAAATATTATATTTAGTCAGATGAAAGTGTTCATCTCTTAAGATTTTCAAAAGTCTCTGCAGAAAAGATTAACACTTAATTACAGATAATTAATATATATTAACCTCTCTTTTCTTTTTCTCCTTTTTTCTTTCTCTTTATTTTTTTGAAATATTTTCACAATGCAATCTACAGATGATGGTACACACGAGCTAGGTTACACACCAAACTCATGAAATTCAATAAGCCTTTATTGCTATATATATATATATATATATATATATATATATATATATATATATATATATATATATATATATATATATATATATGGCAGTACAGCTTGTTATACAATTTATTACAATTAGGTGGCACACACACACACATATACATATAGATAGATAGATATATATATAAATATATATAAGCGCACCTATATCTTCTTCAACGTGAACTCCATTCTTCTTCTGCACTGCATATACTAAACTTCTGAACTATTTCTGCACTAAAAAAAGAACCCTAGAAATTCTTTTTTTTTTATTTTAAAATTTATCATGGCTTCGGTGGTGACGTGTACTCATGAAGAAAGGGAAGATCTGCTGCCATGGCCAATCAGAACCAGGAAGAGAGGAAGCAACAGCAGAGCCATGGTTTCCGTTGATGACGTGGAGCTCCCCGTTCGTGAGGTGGGGTCCCCGCCGCCTGTGTGATAGGTGTGGGAGGACTTTCGTCAATGGGCAGGGGCTCGGCGGACACAGACGGTACTGCATAGTCCGCCCGAAGCCAGCTCCGGTGGAGATCTAGGCGGCGGCGGCAAAGTGATTCACCAGTTCGATCTGAACGAATTACCTCCGCCTGAACCGGTGGAAGAAAGACTGGCTCTGCCTTGGCATGGAGATTGAGCGCCGGAGTTGCAGACTCGGCGCAGCTGCTGCTGCTGTTGTTTTTTCTTTCCTTTTTCGTTTTCTTATTTAGGGTTTCATTTTTTGTTTTTCTTTTTCGTAATTCTGAATTTTTTTGAATTATTAATAAAAAAAAAATAATATTGTTTCTTCAATGGATCTACTTATTTTTTTTAAATAATATTATTTAAATTAATTAGGTCAAAATAGGATTCACGACATATGAGCTATGCATGCGAGCTGACCGCATTCGGACGTCACACATTATGCACTACGTTTGCACACGCACGTGCATATATAGTACTGTGCACGTGTGAGCTGCTTTTTATAGTATGCATGTAGTAATTTGCTTACGTGTACGATGTATCTGTGTGAGAGCTGCTTTTTAGAATATGCATGTACTAATTTGCTTACGTGTATGATGTATATGTATGTATATCTTCTTGCTTTAGTTTGACGCCGTTAGGGTTTAATGGAAAAAACACAATGTGGAAAGTCTACTCGATTTCTCAAACTTGTTATTTTCTTTATACAAGATAAATAAATGAATATTAAAACTTTTTTTTGTAATATTTTTGAAGAAAGAACCTATTTTTGTAATATTTTTAATTAAAACTAAATTTCAATGTAAAATCATATTTGTGTGTAATATATATAGCGCCACGTATGCACTAAAGAGCCTTGTGCAAACTAAGCGGAAAATTAGTGGGCCATTAGATCATATAACTTGAATCAGATGAAATATTTTATGTGTTTATAATGGTTGTTTAAAAAATATATATATATATATATATATATATATATATATATATATCCTAGTCAAATTTAGTTGAAGTTAAATGTGAAATGTGTTTTAAATAAAACTATATACCATCTAACATGAGGGCCAATTTGCTATATAATATAGACAATGGGCTGAGTAATTGGGCCAATACAATGGGCTAACTAATTTTTATTTAAATTGGACTATTCTACAAGGCCCAAATCACCAATAATCTACGAATACTTAAGTTAATACGTTGATTCTATTAATTTATTGGTATAATTTCATTAGGCCTCGTTTGCTTATTTATATCGAATTAAATTGGATTATGTGATATTGAATTAATATTCCACTGACTAATTATTTATTTAATCAGTAAAATTGATTTGTTATATTAAATTTGATAAATTGGGTATTGTGAATTGTCTAAAAAATATTTTAATTAACAAAATTAAAATATTGTTTTAAGGATAAAATTGTATTTTCCTCTAATAATCACCCCTCATAAAATTAGTCGCAGGGGATGCTAATAATTTAATCAAATAATAGCATTTAATTGCGGGATTTAAATGTAGTAGCGAGCTTGACTAAATACGAATCTCATCAACCAAACATCTTGCTAACCCTACTATTTAGTTAATAGAGCTTAATAGCACTAAGCAAACGAGGCCTTAGAATCTTCAATCTTACTTAGTAGAGTTATTCTCGAAATTAACTATAAGTAACACCTCTAACTCGTTATCCAAGGTACGTCAAGTGTTCCGAGATTCTCTAGTTTGCCGAGTATATTAACTGACTTGAGTGTCGGAGATGGAGGTGTTTTAGCTGGGATTAACACTCAACTAGTTATGTGTGCTCATCTCGCAAACTCGGGACTTCAACTAAGGACTTTGATAAAGGACTTCAGCTCATAACTTCGGCCTAGAACTTAGCAACGGATGTTGTCGTCACATATTTCACATGCTTCCATATTGCGGACTACAGTGCAATTTCCTGACTTATGATGGAAGCTGAAATTGGATCTTTAATATCATATTTACAACCCAAAAAATTAAAAAAATTGAAAATCGAGTTTATATGAATTATTATTTATTTTAAATTATATTTAAAACAAAAATAAATAAATAAAAGCTCACGAGCTTAAGAACAATCGAAAAATTCGAGTTCGAGCTTTGTCGACTCATATACATTTACATAAGGTGGCACATTCTTCGAGGGAAGGGTACATTTGCTAATTACCCTAAAGTTGGGCCATCAACGAATTTCCACGTAATTGATGATTCTCTTTTTCCGTTCTTTTCGATAAAAAATAAATAAATTAAGACGTGACACGCACCCGCCGCAAGGGAGTTATATAAACTAGTTAATCCAGTATCGGACGGTCAGGATTTCGTTTCAAAAATGGTACTTATCCAAATCCAACGATCTAAAATCATCCCAGCGTTCTCAAATCTATCCTTTCCATTTCATCGTCAAGTTGACATTTTCCTTTTTATTTCCGATTTTCTCCCTCTTCTCCACCCTCCCCTCTCTCTCTCTCTAAAACCGCCTCCGGCGATCCCCTTAAAACCTTCTCAGAACGCAGTTTCTCTCTCTAGATATATATACGCATACACATTAGATACATAATCGTACAGTCGTTGTTCGTGTATGTGAAAATATGGGAAATTCGAATGGCAAGGAGGAAGGCAACGAAAATGGTGGTGATGGCGGCGATGAGTTATCGGGAGGTTCGAATCACGCGCCTACAGCGCGGGTGGCTTCTGCCGATTTAATGGCGAGCTCTCCGCCGCACGACCACCGGCAGTCTACTTCTCCTCTATTGTTCTCATCTCAGGTGAGGCTGTTTTTTTTTTTTTTTGTTTTTTTTTTCTAGGTATTCATATCTGTATGTATTCTCGTATGTATGTGGATTTTGATTCCTTGTGTGTGCAATTCCTGGTAGATAGCTGAATGGAACGGTTCAAATATCTGAACCGTATGTACTGCGACCTTAAATTGAGTGCTTCTGCTGCGATTTCGTGGTGTTTGACTAATTATAACGAATGCAACAGGGATGAGAATGATTGATCTTTAAAAATACCTTTGATCTGCTAAGCCTTGATTTTCGTTGTTGTCGAAGTGTGCCAAATTTGCTATGCATGATATTGCTGTGTGCTCTTCAAAATTATGTGAAGACAACAATGTGAGAGCTTATTGTGCAGAATGTTGAAGGTTAATTATGTATTTGAAGGTTAGGTCAAGGAAATCACTTCCCCTATCGTTAGTTGTCTGAAATTACAATTGATTTCTGCTCTAAGTGAGAAATTCTATCATTGTCGATACTAGGTTAGGTCAAGGAAATCACTTCGCCTATCGTTGGTTGTCTGAAATTACAATTGATTTCTGCTCTAAGTGAGAGATTCTATCATTGTCGATACTTGAGATTCGATTAGGCTATCGTCGTTACTTACGTGTCAATCAACTGTTTTGTCAGACAAAAGATGGAATTCCCCAGACATATTGCAGTTATTGGATATAATATTATGTCATTATCGGGCCACAAATACTCTGTTGGCATATTTGCAGCAGGGTAGGGGAATCGTAGATCAATGCTTTAACACATGCGCGTTGGCGTAGAAGGATGACAACTGATCATAACCTGATGAAAGTTAGTCATCTGTGGTGTTACTGGTATGTATCTTGGTATACTAAATTCAAGTCAGAGGAAGGCGTATTTTGGAGTCTAGAGTTGCTAATATAATCGAGGGATTTAGGCAATGCAATGTGCATTCCATTAAGCGAACCCTTTCCTACTCTTAAATTGGGAGACAAGTGTGTCCTTTGTTGGAAGCTTACAATGTGCATATATTTAGGTACTAGACTTATATATTTTTGTTGTTTGAGTGTTAGTGTTGTTATGTAATCAATGGTTTGTCATACTATAAGGTATTCTTTTGAGGTAATGTACTAAGTCATCCCTCATATTCTTGTTAATATCTTTTGACACAATTACACCTCTTACAAATGCGTATGATTCTTTGGAGCCTTACTGCATTAGTTATAATAGAACATTCGCCAATAATACAACCTTATGACATTTTGTCCTAGTAGGATGTGTCCAGGCGACCTCTACTAACTTCATCCTGACTAATGGTCCAATATTAGTACAAACACCTGGAGAATGGAAATCACAATTGCCTTCACTCTGATTAGTGGCCCACTGCTAATTATGTTTATTCATCGGTAACCAAAATTACCTCATAAAAGATAGCATTATTGTGATGTCGTGCCTAGCTAGATGCTAATTGCCAACTCCTTATGCTGAAGGTGAACTTTGCTTTTAAACATGTTGATGCATTCATTCTTGATTTACTGAGCAAGAGCATTGGACACTGTATTATAAGGTTGGTTATTTTTTCTGTCGCTTGGGGTGCTTGTAAATGTATTTGCATTTCTGCACTAGTTAGTTGCAAACTTTAACTTGGGACTATGTCTTGTATCATGATTTTTGGTAAGTTGTGCATATGATGAAAACATATCAAACTGTCCTTACGATGAAAACATATCAAACTTCTACTTCATGCTGCATCATTCTTTTCATCTCTGGTGAGTGAAAATGAAAACATATGTTTGGTCCGGTTTTGAAGTTCTTCCCACTCCTTCCCCAAAATAAAAATTTGCTTGTGTAGCTTTTTAAATTTCACTCTAAAATCTTTTGGGAATTTTCTTTCGAAGTTTTTCCCTCTTTTGAACTTGATTTGATTGACTGCTCCAGTAACAAATGTCTTCACTTTAATACAAACAAACATCACTTTATTTTCAAATTCTTCTTTCAAATACCTTTTTTCCCAACACATTTTAACATTATTTGACTGTTACATTGTAAATTATCTCCTTCCAAAATACAAACAAACATTATTTTTTCTCAAATTCTTTTCCCGAACATCTTTCCCCAAAACGAAATAAAAATAAGGCCCAAAACTAGGCCAAACATAGATAACTCTGTCATCCCTAGTTTCTTTCTCAGAAGTTCTAAAATTAGACTTGATGTTCTGAGGTAGTTTTTCTTTGAAGTACCCTCTTTACTTAATGTTATGGTATGACATTCTAATAAAGAGTGAAGAAGAAATAAAAGATGTATTTATAAGCAATACTGTGGTATTCTTTGGGAATCTTCACAATGACATAATGGCTTCAAGTTACTATTGTAGAAGCATAGAAGCATATAACCTGGCAGTCAGTCTACTACTAACAAATAGGTTGGGTATGTTGGCTTCCACATGGTTGTCAATCGACTAGTAAATAAAAATTACTTAGTCTTATTGGAGCTCCGCATAATGTTATTTGTGGTCAAATGTATTCCTTGTCCCCGACCTTTCATCGGTTCGTTATATGTAACCCAATTTTTCTGCACCTTATCAGGTCCCAGTAGTTCCCTTACAAAGAAATGATGCCCCCTCACTAAATCCATTGCGGCAGAATGAAAATCAAAGGCCCGCTGACCAATCCCTTGGACAAGGTATACCTACTATAATAACTTGGAGCTTTGGTGGTAACAGTGTAGCTGTGGAAGGATCTTGGGACAACTGGAGGACAAGGTGATTTTGCATGCTCCTTCCATATATGTTGATGTACTTACTTCCCTTGATTGGGAATTTTTCAATAATATGTTTAACCTGGTTCCATTTTCTAAGATATATTTCTGCATTCTTCTTTAGGAAAATACTTCAAAGATCTGGCAAGGATCATTCTGTTCTTTTGGTCCTCCCATCGGGTGTGTTCCGTTACAAATTTATTGTGGATGGCGAAGTGAAATATATACCGGATTTTCCAAGTGAAACAGATGAGACGGGCCGTGTCTGTAATCTTCTAGATGTCCATGTAAGTTAATACTAAACTTAAATCATTTTCTTTTCTAATTCGTTGTGTTCATCTTGATGGGCTTTCTTAGAGTTGCTATAATATTTATTGTGTTTATCTTTGCTACTTTTCGAATACTCAAATCTCATTAGCTTCCTAGACAGACCTCAGTGTCTTGCTTTGTTTTCACTAATGGCAGAATCTGTTCCTAAACTTCAATGCATCATTACGTGTAGGGTTAGTTGCATATAGACCACCTCAGGTATTTAGTCAACAAGACTACCCTTTGACAATAATAATTACGGGGATTGTGAGAGAGAGACATATGGAAATAATTCGTCAAATATGCCACCTTAGGGAAACCTGTTCGCTGGATAATTTGATGTATGAATTTAGAATTGGGTTTAAATTATTTTGCAGTATGTTTAAAACTCCATCTGCTAACCAGCAATATTTCGATTGTTTCAGAAACAAAGATCTGTATTTGCTTAAGATTCCGATGCCAAATATTGGTGAATAGATTCTGGGCATCTATTTCAATTCAGTCCCACAACATTTACTGTCCTCTTCTAATTATAGATTCCTTGCATGTTGATATTTGGATCGTGTGTGTGTGTGTGTGAAAGAAAACAACCTTCCATATATTAGGTTTCTTGATAGGTTCCGTTTATATTTATATAACTGCGAAATTTTGAAATGATAGGATTATGTTCCGGAAAACCTAGATAGTGTGGCAGAGTTTGAGGCGCCCTCATCACCCGAGTCCAGCTACAGTCAACTTTTCCCAGGAGACGAAGATTTTGCAAAGGATCCTATGCTGGTTCCTGCTCAACTCCAATCGAACATTCTTGGCTCGGAAAACAATAAAGAACCCGCTTATTCAAAACCGCAGCATGTGGTGCTTAACCATCTCTTTATGGAGAAAGGACAGTCTTCTCAGTCTGTGGTTGCTCTCGGTCTGACTCATCGGTTCCAGTCCAAGTATGTGACTGTTGTCCTGTATAAGCCGCTGAAGAGGTGATTTGGTTCTAAATCCTTCTTCTCTCTCCCCTTTGCTAGATCTTTTGATGATGATGATGTAACTTTGAAAAATTTGTGATCCAATCTTGTTGTTACAGTTGATTATGCAACGACTTCTCGGAAAATATGTAACTTCAACTGATGTTTGTTGTCCTGTACATTAAACTGTGCTAATCGGTGTCGCTGAGTTTTTAGTGTAAATTTGTTTAGCGGAAGCGAAAGGAAATTTCTTTGTGATGTTTTATTTATGTTGTTCTTCGAGCAAGATCACTCTTTCGACTTGTGAAACTTTTAATACAATAAGCATGTGGAGGGATCGGGTGTGCTTTCTACCTTGCCCTGTTAAATGCTCTATATTTAGTTTCCGAAAATTAGTTTGCTTTCATGGCGCTGTGAATCTTTTCACTCTTCGTTTTCTTGATTATTTTATGACTCCTTCATTTATTTGTTTTTGTGCTTCTGGTTTTTTTTCGTTACATTTGGGGATCAATTTTCATTACGCATGCCTTTGTGAATCAAACTAAGCTATTCGATTTGAGATCGATTGTTAAAAGTTCGTTTAAGTGTGATTTGTAACATGACAAACTTTTGTTTGATAAGATATGAACTCGAGCTCTGTTAGGGAAACAATTACAAAGTACAAATAAGACATCAATTTACTCCGACCTCGATTCGTGTTCAGTTCGTTTGGAGCTTGTTCAAGTACAATTCAGTCGCCAATGCATTCGTATTCAATTCATTTTGTCTTGGGATGACATTCGAATTTCATAGCTTATAATGGACCACTATTCGAATTAATTGAATTATTTTACCAATCAAATTATTCAATAGAAAGAGAGTGGGTGAGGGAGAGAAGCATCCAAGCACAAGGCATTACATAAACAGGGTAAAACAGGCTAATAGGATCAAAGTTTCCCAATTTTTCAAAGTTCATAGAAACAAATGCCAAAAGGACAGCAATCGATAATTCTAACAACCCAAACTAAACAAGAAACGCGGCACTAACCGAAGAATATAGACTCAAAACCAACACAAACCGGGAAATAAACTAATATAATTCCACAAGAATACATCCTTACAGAAAAACACAAACTTCTCTCCCCTGATTCCTTTTTTTTCCATTTACCTCGGTACTCCAATATTTAGGTTTGTTAGATGAATTCACTTAGCCATCATAACCTTGACAAACTCCTCGTAGTTAATCTGCCCATCACCATCCACGTCAGCCTCTCGGATCATTTCATCAACCTCCTCGTCGGTCAGCTTCTCACCGAGATTTGTCATGACGTGGCGAAGTTCAGCTGCAGAAATGAATCCATTTTGGTCCTTGTCGAAAACACGGAAAGCTTCCTTGAGCTCTTCCTCTGAATCAGTGTCCTTCATTTTGCGAGCCATCAAATTGAGGAACTCTGGAAAATCAATTGTCCCATTTCCGTCAGCATCAACCTCGTTTATCATGTCCTGAAGTTCGGCCTCTGTCGGGTTTTGTCCTAAAGAACGCATCACAGTTCCCAGCTCCTTGGTAGTGATGCAGCCTGTTGGAAAATTCAAAATTCAGTTATAACAAAACCATGAAGTTTAATAAGTTTCGAGTCCGTAGCAAAAATGATCAAGACATGTAAAATTTTTGCTAACAGAAACAACAATTCGGAAAATGCTAGAAGATAAAAAAAAAAAATCATATTCTGATGAATATATCCCGTGAAATTAATGGGACATGCATCAAAGGCAAATGACACATTGAGAAACTAATAGAACTGTAAACGCCAAGTATCAACGGACTCTATGTAAACATATTACATTCATGTTTTGAACTACTTAGGCTGTCACTTTCAACGAACTTCAGACTTGAAATTCAAAATCGTAAAGTTAGGTAACACCTAATGCTATAGATACCTGTCTCATTATAATTCAACATAAATATCAAATGCAACACCTTGCCTCACTTAAATGCCAATAGTAGTAAAACACAACTAAATATTTCACCAACAAACATCAAATAATCTTCCAGTAACATAAATGCTATGTATCAACCACAACAAACATCGTCGAATCTCCGATTCTCGTGGCATCTTAAATTCAACAATCGTAATCCATTGTACCCCCGAATAGCTATATTAACAAGCGAGGGTCGTAAAAATCGGAAAAAAAAAAAAAAAAAAAAAATCAACACAAATTAAAAGGTTAACACCAAGAGACTCTTAATTAATAAAAAAAAAAAAAAAAAAAACTTCAAATTCATTCACGGGATAATATAAAACCATTTTTTTTTCTTCAGAAACCAAATCATACGCAATCACGCATCAACAACACCGCGCGTAAAACACACACATAATTTCCATTACAGAGCGTGGCAATCGGTTGAGCCATCCACACCTCGTTACAGTACAGATCACGCGCAATTAACGTAAGGAAACTAAGAGCAGCTGAGAAATAAACAGAAATTTACAACATGAGCAGCAGATCTACACCAAAAAAAAAAAAGTAAATTTGTAAGCGTGTGGAAATTAGGGGGGCCAACCGTCGCCATCCTTGTCGAACAGAGAGAAGGCTTCCTTGAATTCAGAGATCTGATCGTCGGTTAGCTGATCCGCCATTGCTGCTTCCTTCAAACCTCTTTTCTGTCAGGTAATAATTCTACAAAACTAATTGGTAGAGAGAGAGAGAGAGAGAGAGGGGGAACGATAGGAATGTACTATTATCGTTTTATTTACAGTTAGCTCCTTACCAGCACTGAAATATCTGAAATACCCTTTACTTTATATCTAAATTACAACTACACATTATTCTCAGTATAAAGGAATATTACTAGTCATCGTGGTTCTTCCGAAGACGTTTTATGTCATTATTTTGGGAAGATTCGAATATGTTTAGGAATTATAATCATATATATCTAAATGAAAAAAAGGACGGAAACAAAATTAATTAATGAAGGGCATTCAGGACATTTTAGTGGTAACGATATAACTATAAACAAAACTTAAAATGAGGAATGCAGTGTTCAAAATATAGTGTTGGGATCGATTTTTGTATATAAAACTAATCATAATGAATTTACGAGCTAAAACCACTACTTTTATATTTTTTTTTCTTTGCCACCATTAACAAAGTAATTCTACTATTCATTTTTCTCTTTATAAATTTTTTTAATCTTATAAAAATATTAAATCCAAAACTAAATTATTATATATATATATATATAATTTAAAATATATTTTTTAATAACGAACTCCTAAAATTAGAAAAATATATATATTTTACAAACTCATCATCACAAATATTTCGAAAATTTCAATAACCTTATTCATCAAAATGCTATTTGCAATAGGATTTGAATTAAACAAAATTGTCCTGTCTTATTTTTTGAAATAAGAACCAATAATTATTAATTATATATGCTAAACGATGGGCCATGATTTGACTTCCTACAGTACAAATTGTCTTATCTCAAAACACAAACAAACTTTATTTTATTTCTAAATTCTTCTCCCAAAATACTTTTCTCCAGAATAAAATGGAAGCGGAAGCCCAAAAGCTTACCAAACATAACCATAATATAATGTTAATTGAGAAGGCCTATAAAGAGTCTTTAAATCTCACAAAAAGGCCCCTAAATATCCTATTGGTCTAAGGGCTAAGGCTAACTTGAAAAATCTCGATAAATTAATAAAATTTACTTAATAGGATAATATATTATTGTCCTAACTTTGTGTAAATAAATTTAATATTTTATTAGATTAAGGGAGCGGCTAAAAGAAATATATTTTTTTTTATTATTTCAAAACCAGCAACATTAAAAATGAATAATAAATAAGTAATGACATTATTACCTTAATAAAAATCATACCACACATAAAATTTGGCGGTAATGATTTTGTTAAGATTATTAATGGTATTATCTATTTATTCTCAATTTTTTATATTAATGGTATTGAAGTGCGAAATAAACAGTATTTATTTTAGCCCGTTTCTTAGATTAATTGAATTTTGTTAATCATGAGTCCCGACTATAATCTTTTTAACTGTATAAGATCGATGCATCGGACAGAAGAATTGGAGAAAAAATAATTTAAAATGAATCATATACATAAAAATAAATGCGAAATATTTAAACGCAAATATATAATGAATTCACACGTATATAAATTCAAGAGTGAAATACCAAAAAAATCCCTAAAATATACTTCAAATTACCACTCCAATTTATGTATACTTTTCATTTCTAAAGGTTGTTTTGCTATTATTTTTGTCATAAATATACTAAATTATTATTATTATTACTCATGAAATATTATATAAATAAAAAAAAATATAAATGGACTAATTGAGTAAAAACTGTAGAAACTCACACAAATCAAATCTAATGAATGTTATGGTATTGAGACAGAAGGTGGGGTAGGGTTTGATGTGTCAGTGAGGGGCAAAAGCGTGAATATCGAGACTGTGGAAACAAACGCCTTTTTCTGCACCCAAACTGGATTCTTCCCATTTTTTTACCCTTTTTTCCCTCACAAATTAGATCCCCTCTCTCTAGGAGTACACAATATGTATTTCTATATTTTTTTTATTTAAATAAATAATATTTATATAATACGTTTCAATACATGACCATTTAATTTTAATCTATACATACATTTAACTAAAAAACGTAAAATTATTTAACATTTAATAACCAATAATGAAATTCCAACTTAATGGGCTATCCGTTTGGGCTTGGCCCATAAAGTCTTCTTTTATTTCTTTAGTACTTTCTTTTTTTTTATATATATATAAAGTGGTGATAAATATTTTTTTAATATGCAAATTGATCATTATTAATAAAATTATTCATAATTTGTTGGTATGTGTTCAAATTATGATTTAATTCAAGTTAGTTTTTGTTTTTTTGTTCTAGTTTTATTGTAAGAATAATTGGTATGTGAGTTAAATAATCTATATTATGAGTTATTTCTACTTTATAGTAGCTTTTTTACATATAAACTTATGTACCTAATATTGGTTTAAAAAAATAATGTTCAATTTTATTTCTACAATAGATCAAACTACTAATATTGGTTTAAAAAAATAATGTTCAATTTTATTTCTACAATAGATCAAACTAAATTGGTAATATCTATTATCTTACGGTATACTATATCGACGTTATTAAATTTGTCACCACCGAAAATTCGCTTCCACAATGAAGAACTACTCGTTTTAATTCGTTAGGTGTAAATTAGATTCGTCGATGCTATATTCGGTCAATTTCATCAAATAAATTTGCACAATTCGCGTATATCGTACATCGATAAATTAATTACAATTCCTTTTTTTTTTCTTGTGAAAATTAATTATTTATATACTCGTATATATCGTGGTGCATTACTGTGAGATGAATCGATCAATTGGATTCGTCAATGCTATATTCGGTGAATTTCATCAAATAAATTTGCACAATTTGCCTACACCATATATCGATAAATTAATAATAATAATAATAATAATTATTATTATTATTTCTTTTTTGAGAGCTTAAATTAATTATTTATCAATTATATTAATATACACGTGTATATGGTGGTGTATAATTGTGACATAATACAAAATCGGTGTATATTGACCGGGTGGTGCACAGAACTTTTTTGTGTGGTACGTACAATACAAATGTACAACATAAACAGTGAGGCTCCATACGTGTGTGGATGGACACGTGTCAGTTAACTGATTAGATATAGTTCCACGTACTGGGACCACTGCGTCCGTCGATTTCGCAACCGTCGATCGTGCAACACTCACGAGTGGGCGTCGGATTAGATCCAACGGCTGTGATAGCTCGTACAATTGAAAGTCCAGATACCCGGCAAGGAGCTGCACGCATTTGATTTGAACTCGGCCTTTTTTTTTTTTGACAATGCACAACAACCTAAGATAAATAGAGTAGTTTCCTTCCTTCCATTCTCTCTCTCTATCACTCTCTCACTCTACAATTTGTGTCACTCTCCAACTCTCTCTCTCTCTTTCTCTCACTTGGTTTCTCTCTCTAAAATCTCGGGTTTCTTTTAAGACTCTCTTTCTACAGTCACGCCGTTGAAACGGCTCCATTTTAGGGTTTTCGCTTCTCAAAGGTTGCTCTTTTTTGCCCTCATTTTCGTTTGGCTCTGATTCCTTTTTACCGTGTATGTTTTTTTTTTTTTTTTTTTAATTTTTTTATCAAGTTGCCTTTTTCCATTTACCTTCAATTTTTTTTTTAATTTTTTTTTTGTGAATTTCTGTGGGTGCATTTTTTTGTGAGTGTTTTACTGGAAATGGGTTTATTTATTACTGATTTTTTTGTTGTAATTTAACGAATTTTTTTTTGTGTGTGTGTGTGTGTTAATTGAACACAATTGTTGCTGAAATGTTTGTTCTTTCTTGGTGGGTTTTTTTACAGTGGATCAAGACCTGTGTGAAGAAATCTCTGCAGCGGTGAATTTTCGAAGGTAAAAGAGGGTAGTACATTTCTCTCTCTCCCTCTCTTTCTCTCTGATTCTCTGTTTTTCTCTGCAGGGGTGAATATTTCGAAGGGAATATTCGCTTGTTTGCTTTTTCTTGACTTGCATGTACTGTTGTTGACTTGATCTGTGAAGTTTTAGGCCATTCCTCGAGAAATATGTTTGATATGTTACTTGGTGTTTGTATTTTCTATCTTAAAGATTACATTTTCCCCATGATTTAAACTCATATATGTTGGTAATTTTGCCTCAACAGACTAATTTGATGTTTTTCCTTTTCTTTGAGTTCTAAAATAGGACATTTTTTTAGTACTCTTACTTAAAAAGAAGTGTGTTCATCTCTAATTTGATGTTTAACTTTTACTTAAACAGACTAATTTGATGTTTTACTTTAAAAGAAGTATGTTTTTACCTTATTTGAACTTTCACTTAAGACATGCATTGATGTTTTACTAATGACTCCGACTTAAAAAAAATTAAAAATATTTGCCCTGTTTTCTTTGAATTTGTTGTTTAAGATCCATAACAAAAAAACGTCTAGTTTCCATAATATGTTTATGTGTATATAAATTTCTAAAAATGTTGCTTGATTACAGGATTTCTTGATAAACCGATCTGGCAAATGGATCCCTCTGAGCTAAACGGTAGTGAGGCAGAGCTAAATGGTAATGGGGCGGAGCTAAATGGTAACGGGGCGGAGCTGAATGGTAATGGGGCGGCAGAAGGTAATGGAGGTTCAGAAGAAGCACTGCCTCCTCCTCCACCTATCCCCCCAAACGTTACTCCAATAAAAGCCGAGCCAGAAGTGAAAAAGATCACCCGTGTTCCAATGGCTAGACGAGGCCTTGGAACCAAAGGAAACAAAGTTCCGATTCTGACCAATCACTTCAAAGTGAATGTCAACAGTGTTGATGGCTACTTCTTCCATTACAGTGTATGTCTAATGAGTAAAGATACGATTTTTTTCTGTTTTCTTGAAAGAATGTAATGATTGAGTAAGTTGACTTGTGATTTTTTTTTATAGGTTGCCCTTGCATATGAAGATGGCCGCCCTGTTGATGGCAAGGGCATTGGTCGGAAAGTGCTCGACAGAGTTCACGAGACGTACGATTCTGAGTTGGCTGGCAAAGAGTTTGCTTATGATGGGGAGAAGAGTTTGTTCACTGTGGGCCCGCTTCCGAGGAATAAACTCGAGTTCACTGTTGTTCTTGAGGACGTTACCTCGAGCAGGTGGGTACTATGTTTGTTTGCTGTCTTGACTTGACCTTTCCCCATTGTTGTTGTTTTGTCTTTTTCTTACATTAGTGAATTTGTTTTGTTTAGGAACAATGGAAATGCGAGTCCAGGTTCTGAAAATCCCAACGACAGTGACAGGAAAAGGCTGAGGCGACCGTACCAGTCTAAAACTTTCCAAGTCGAGATCAGCTTTGCTGCAAAGATTCCCATGCAGGCAATTGCCAACGCGTTACGCGGACAAGAATCTGAAAACTCTCAAGAGGCTTTACGTGTTCTTGATATCATACTAAGGCAACATGCAGCAAAGCAGTAAGTCTTGTGATTATTAATTGAAATGAATGCTTAATGGTTGAAGTTAATTTACGCCTTACGATGATGCTTTTAATATATGTCAGGGGTTGTTTGTTGGTTCGCCAGTCGTTTTTCCACAACGACCCGAAGAATTTCTCTGATGTTGGAGGTGGGGTCCTCGGCTGCCGAGGCTTCCACTCGAGTTTTAGGACAACCCAGAGTGGATTGTCTTTGAACATTGGTAATATCTAGTCTCTTCCGTTTTCTTTCCATATTTCCGTTATTTTTCTTGTTGGTTATAATAAATTGGTGGCTGTTTCAATGTTTGAAGATGTATCTACAACAATGATAATCCAGCCTGGTGATGTAGCGAACTTCCTTGTTGCTAACCAAAATTGCAGGGACCCCTTTTCGGTCGATTGGGCAAAGGTACGAATGTAGCCCTTACAATGTTTTCTTTTCCGATAGAGCTGAGTACGTCTTTATTGATGAAAGATCTTCTAATCGGGATTCACCATAGGCTAAACGAACGCTGAAGAATTTGAGGATCACCGTAAGTCCGACTAACCAGGAGTTCAAAATAACTGGTCTAAGCGAGAAGTCTTGCAGAGAGCAAACGTACGTTTCTTCAATCTCCTTAAATCTTCCAACTTGTGTTTTCTGATAGTAGACATTGGATTTATTAATGGAATTTGACTTTTGAAAAATCTTGCAGTTTCACATTGAAGCAGAAAAGCAAGGATGGCGATGGTGAATTTCAAACAACAGAAGTGACTGTGTACGACTACTTTGTGAACCAGCGGAACATCGACTTGCGATTCTCTGCTGACTTACCATGCATTAATGTCGGAAAGCCAAAGCGCCCGACTTACTTCCCAGTCGAGGTTTGAAATCTTGGAATAGTCATTAATTTCCATCAAAAAATGAATTTACGATGTGTTATAGTATTGATTTAATTATGTGCTTGTATTCAGCTATGCTCTCTTGTGTCACTGCAACGCTACACGAAAGCTCTATCTACACTTCAAAGAGCTTCATTGGTCGAGAAATCACGCCAAAAGCCACAAGAAAGGATGTCTGTTCTGAGCAATGTATATTTTCTTCCTTCCGATGAAATCTCTATTCTCTGCTATAATTTGTTTTTAAGTGTTTAAATTATACTAATCTGATTCTGGATTTGTGGCAGGCTTTGAAAATCAACAAGTATGATTCAGAGCCTATGCTTCGTGCTTGTGGTGTCTCGATCAATAACAACTTCACTCAGGTTGAAGGGCGTGTGCTGCCAGCCCCTAAGGTATGCTTTTGGGATATCGATTTATTGTCGTTACTTATGGTTGGTAAAGACTGCTCCTTTTTACTGTGGTTATATTTTTGTATTGCAGCTCAAAGTTGGTAATGGAGAGGACTTGTTTGCTAGGAACGGCCGATGGAACTTCAACAACAAGGTATAACTGCGATTTCATTTTCTTTTTAAAGACAATGGCCAACAGCTCTTACAATGTCTGAATCTTGAAAAACCGGTCGTATGTTTTGGGCAGAGGTTTGTTAATGCGTGTAAGGTTGAGCGATGGGCTGTGGTGAACTTCTCTGCTCGTTGCGATGTGCGTGGCCTGATCAGAGATTTGATTAAAGTCGGCGAATCGAAAGGAATCGTATGTTCTTCTGTTCTATTTTCCGTTTAGTCCAACTGTTTTATGCGTTAAAAAGAATTGAGTTGACAAATTGTAATTTTTACATTATATTTTCAGATTGTAGAAGATCCGTTTGATGTTTTCGAAGAGAATCAGCAGTTTCGAAGAGCTCCGCCTATGGTTAGGGTTGAGAAGATGTTTGAAGAGGTGCAGTCCAAGCTTCCGGGCCCACCAAAATTCCTACTCTGTTTGCTTCCCGAGCGTAAAAACTGTGCACTTTATGGTGAGTTAATATATCATCATCCCGATTTTTTGTTTAATATAAAATAAACGAGCTGGCATTGTTAATTGTTTTATAACTTGAAACTTTTGAAGGCCCGTGGAAGCGCAAAAACTTGTCCGAATTCGGAGTTGTTACCCAATGCCTGGCTCCACAGCGAGTTAACGATCAGTATCTGACAAACCTTCTGCTGAAGATAAATGCAAAGGTTGGTAGCTGCTCCGTTAAATTTTATATTGTTAAATAAAATAAAATAAAATTGCAAAAATATTATTTGAATCTGATGTCATCATTTCTTGGCAGCTTGGTGGGTTGAACTCCGTGTTAGCTAGTGAACTTTCGCCTACAATTCCGATGGTGTCAAAGCTGCCGACATTGATTCTTGGTATGGACGTCTCTCATGGTTCGCCTGGACAGTCTGATATTCCATCGATTGCTGCGGTAAGTGTTTTCGATAAATTTATATTTAATTTCCTTCGTATTATTCGTATTTCTTTTTTTAATGTTTAAACAAAATCCAGGTTGTTAGCTCTAGGCAATGGCCTTCGGTTTCTCGTTACAGAGCATGTGTTCGCACTCAATCTCCAAAGATGGAAATGATTGATTCCCTGTTCAAACGTGTTTCCGATTCTGAAGATGATGGAATTATGAGGTTTGATTAGTTAACTGTGTTCCACTTAATTTAATTCTGTTTAAGGTTTTATTAAGATGTGCTAATGATCATTAATTTAATTGCAGGGAGGCTCTGCTGGATTTCTATGTTAGTTCTGGGAAACGAAAGCCCGACCAAATCATCATTTTCAGGTAATGCTATTAAACGTCACATTTCCACTCGTAATTTTTAAATTCTTGATTATTTACTCGACATGGAATTTCGTTCCAGGGATGGTGTGAGTGAATCTCAATTCAATCAAGTCCTCAATATTGAACTGAGCCAAATTATAGAGGTTACTACTCGAAACCTTCATTAATTCTTTTGAACTTCCTTGGTCGATAAAAAAAAAAAACAATATCTCATTTTTCGAGCCCTGTTCGACTTTGTGCAGGCTTGCAAATTCCTTGACGAAAAATGGAATCCCAAGTTTGTCGTAATCATTGCACAGAAGAATCACCACACTAAGTTTTTCCAGCCGAATTCTCCCGATAATGTGCAGCCAGGTAATAAAAAATTTCACATTACTGTGTCCATTCATTAAGTTGGGAAAAATCGAATCTTTTCGTATCTTTTTGTCTCTTGTAATTTTGCAGGGACTGTGATTGATAACAAAGTTTGTCATCCGAGGAACAACGACTTCTACCTGTGTGCCCATGCGGGCATGATCGTAAGCAATTTTCTTTCTTTATTTTATTTTATTTTATTTTATTTTATTTAATTCATTTATTACTTAAACATCAGAATATTCTATAATTTGCTGATCTGCGAACATGTTTCTTTATAGGGAACAACGAGGCCTACACATTACCATGTTCTGCTCGACGAGATGGGTTTTTCTACCGATGATTTACAGGAGCTTGTTCACTCACTTTCTTACGTGTAAGTAAACTCTCAAATAAAAAAAAAGAAAAAAAAATAATATATACAAAAAATCCAGCATTTGTCTAAAATACTCTTGAAATTTATTTATTGCAGATACCAGCGCAGCACCACTGCTATATCGATTGGTAAATTCCGATGTTTTTCCATCGATATTTTAGTTCCTTTAATTATGAAAACTATCTCTATTATTATAGTCTCGATTGTCTTAACTTTGGAACACGTTTGTGAAATCTTGCAGTTGCTCCAATCTGCTACGCGCACTTGGCAGCGACTCAGTTGGGGCAGTGGATGAAGTTCGAAGACACATCGGAGACTTCGTCAAGCCTTAACGGGGCCGCGCCAGGTGGCGCGCCAGCTGTACCGCCTATGCCTAAGTTATCGGAGAGCGTCCGCAACTCCATGTTTTTCTGTTAAGAAAAAAAAAGAGAGGCATTTCATGTGGTGCTTCTTGTTATGTTAGAAAACAATTTAGCTTTTGACTACTAGGTTTTGTGTGTTTGACTTATCGTTTGACTCGTGTGTTTTTATGTGGTAATCGAGTGCAGAACTCGTAACTTATGTAGTATTAGTAGTCTGCCTGCCCTAAGTAGTAGTTAACTGTGACAAGCCTCTCCCTCTGTGCAATGTTTTTTTCTGTTTCTGGATTTTGGTAATCTGTTTATTGCATGGGAGTTAAACTCGTTGCTTGTCGAACTTTGTGCATCGTTTGGTTTAAATTTGTGCATATGTTATTGATATTTCATGTTCCGAATGCGTGTCTGAATGTATTTTTTTCGTTTCCAAGTGTACGTATATATTGTTATTTCGTTAGGTGGTGTTCGGATAAGTTTATAACTTGTTATTCAAGATGTTTATAGGCTTATAAGCTTTTATAATTCATTTGCAATTTTTACCTGAGAAGTTGCATGATTTGCTCAAATATTTTAAAGATCTTATTTTCTCCATTGTTTTAACATTTAAAATGAAAACTATCATCAACTATTTTATTGTATTGTATGATAAACTTATAAGCTATTCAAAACATATTATAATTTTTTTGAGATTGTATAAGCTGTTTTTTAGTATGTAACTCCATCTTTTTATTTAAAATCTATGTTACACGGACATTTCAAATTGTCGACGTGTCGTACACGAACACCTGAGTTTCAACGGACACTCCTTGGGCATTTATATGGTTAATATATCATTTATTATTTATCAAGAAAGATAGAGATTAATATTTACTCGATAAATTAATACTTAATAAATTAATAATCTCACTTAAATAATAGTTTAATCCGATCTCGATTTGGTTAAAACATACTGAATTATAATATTTCGCTAAATTAATATAATTTTGCCAGTCACTGTATTAATTTGTGGATGTTTGACTATATATGGATAAAACCGATAGAAGAGAACAATTGAAAATGAAAAAATGCATTTAATGAATTGTAATAAAAATAATCCAAGAATAATAATTGTGTTCTTATTTGGTTATTTATTTATTATTACAGACAACGAGAAAACGGAAGAAAATCAGAAAAGATGGGGAACAAGTTTATGTACGAAAGAAGGTCGATTAAGAAGAACGCGGACCCTCTTGATTTTCACACCATGATTTCTTCATCTCTCTCCTCTTCTGGTATTTATTTTTACTTCATTTTTAACTGTTTTTTTTTTTTTTTGAATCAGAGGCTCACGAAATCCCGACAAGGGTTTTTCAGAAAACCAAAAGAATCAGGGTTAAAAAGTAAAAAAAGTAAAAAAGAAAAGGACCATCGTTTAATTTTCCTAAACCCTCTGTGTGTTTTAGCAACGATCACTTCATTTTGTCACCACTCTCGGGAGTATGAATTTGTGGGATGGTTGGTTATGTTATGTCTGAAAATTTTGGTTTTGTATGTACTGTTTGTGTTTGTTGTCTGGTGTGTCTTTTATGTGCCAATGCTTGTGTTTCTTGAAAATGAAATTGTACGTGTGTATTGAAGTGAGCCAAGTCGTTGTTATTATTTTCCGAGAATCGCGGTTCTCAGTCGCGTAGTTGTTCGATCCCTTAACATTCTACGCGTGCATGAATGCAAAAAAATAGGTGCTTATGAGCAATGTATGTAGATATAATGATTCTACGAGTTCGAACACTTATTAGCATTATTAATTTTGGAAAATAACTCGTGGCTTTTCCGATTTTCGTTGTTGCGTCACGGTTCTCTAAGCTCGCCTAACTGGAATAATCTGGTCTTTTGTATGTAAGTTGCATAATGACGCTTACGAAACGATGGTGGTTATAGAGAAAAAAATGCAGTTGATAGTGTCGTCTACTCGTCTTCTTATCCAAAAGGCGGAGGGGGGTAGGATTACATTGGAGAGTGACTTTTTATTATCTTTGTCGAAAAATAATGAAGAATCATTCTCACTTATGGAAAATATTCATTAGGAGCCGAACTCGTGATTTTGAGTTTCGAATGTCATCTTGATTATAAATCAGAACAAGTTTGCATGTACGTAGTTAAGTTATTGATATTTACTACAAACCCCTTTTTACGTTTCCGAAAATATGATGGCGAATAATTATTCGCTTGTGGAAACTAACATGCCGATTTTATAGATCGTGTTTTCATAAAGGAAGTCCCAATGGAGCGCCCGACTCCATATGCACGTCCAAAGAGAGTGCGTAAGCCAAAATATGATTCAAGTGAGTGGGAACTTTCTTCACCAAGTTTATTTACTTGTCGGCAATCGAGGAGAATCCCGAACGCCACCTCAGCCCTACGAGGGCGATTGCATGATACCTTGTTTGACCACTGTTTTCGGTAAGGTTTATAGTTTTGTGTGTTGCCTAATTTACCCTCGACTTCCTTCGATATTTTCCTTTTCATCTACCTTCCATTGTTATTTTCTTTGTATATGTGTTCGTTTTATTCTTCTTATTTTTGTCTATCGGCACTCGGTTTTAATAGATAGTTGACCACTCTTCAATTCAGTTTTGGTGGACGCCAAATTAATACTTCAGGGGATGTCTTTGCCAAAGCGCAAAACCCGACGCAAAGTGGATGCAAATAACTAAAATAAATTGGTATTTACATTTAATTAGTCTCTTGATATTTTAGGAACATATGGAGGGAATCTTCCGAAGAGAAAAAGAATCCATGCACGTATCTGAGCTGCTATTGGTTTTACATGTACACAAACGACTCGAATAGAGAAAAGGTGTTGGGCTGGATTAAGAAACGCGGCATATTCTCGAAACGATACGTCTTTGTTCCCATTGTTTTGTGGTATGTTGTTTATTTCTTTTCGTAATTTTTTTTTTACGTAACAAATGTATTTTTTTCTTTAATCAAGATGCGAATTTCCGATTAGGTCTCACTGGTCTCTCTTGATCTTTTGCAACTTCGGCGGAAGCTCTCCTTGCATGCTGTTGCTCGACTCGTTACATACATTGGGCCCTTTACGACTTGAAACTCTAATAAGAAGGTACATAAGAAAATATCTAACGGGAAGTAATTTTCAATTCGTCAATGTTTTTTCTTTTTGTAATTTAATTTTAATTGCAGGCTTGTTTTGGACATATATGAAACAGAGGATAGACCCGAAGACCGCAATTTTGTAGAAAAGATTCCTCTATTAGTTCCTAAGGTAGTGTTACTTATCGTTATGCTATATTCCGACTGTTTGTAATTACTTGAATTGCGGCTATTTTGATTGGTTAAAACAACTCGTAGGTCCCACAGCAGAGGAACGGCAACGAATGTGGTGTTTTTGTTCTGTACTACATTAATTTATTCTTAGAGAGTGCGCCTCAAAGTTTTAGCATTTCGAGTGGCTACCCTTATTTTGTGAGTAAATTATTCCTCAAATCTTTTTCTCCGTTATTCTCACATTAACGCAGTTATTTTTCATCGTGTGATAAGCTCCGTTTTTTTATGTATATTGCATTGCAGATGAAAGAGGATTGGTTCACTGAGGAAGAATTGGAGAGATTTTACGACAGATTGGAGTTTCTTGGCATTGAATCTAGCGATTCTGAATAGTGACTATATACATTGGATTGTTCGTGTAGGTTTTTAGTAAATCGAAAGAATTATCGAATGGAAACTCGATACATAGGGACATAAAAATTCTGGAAATTTTATACATAGGGAGATACCAAGAACTTTGTTGTATTCAGGTGTTGTACACTTTTTTTCGAGAGTTCAAATGGGAAACAATCTTTATAGACTTCTTCGGCCTTGTTTGATTGGTAAGATTTAATTACATAATTGTCCAACTCGTGACGACGCCCCACAATTATCGAGAAAATGAGCTCTCTCGACTAATCGTATTTTAGTAGCCCAAACGAAACTTTCGTTATCGTTTCTTACGCTTGCAAGACAGACACAACCAAATGAACTCAAAGAAAAAAGTAATTTATTTCTAGTGTGAAAGAAATATATCATGAGTTACAATTATCCCATTCAAACGTAGGGCGTGAGAAAGCCTCGTAATCCAGGTCACCACTAATTACATTCTCCACACTTTGCATACCTTGCAATAAAGCAGGCTGAAAGCCATCAGGATCACTAGGCAAAAGTTTATACATAACCAACAACCCAAGTGTGAATATCGCCTGAAGCTTGGTCGAATCCCCATTTACCGAAAAGAACAACAGCATTGAAACAAGAAACAAGTCGACACAGAACCTCATAATCCCCAGTACAGTATCCATCAATCTCCCGTCGTTGCCAGCTGGAAAGCCTCGAACTCTATAAACAAATAAAAAGTTGTACTTATCCACAACGTATCTATAACCGAAATAAACTGTGCCGACAGGGACCACAAGTGGAGAGAAGGAAGAATATATTAGTGTCAGAGCGAATATTGTGAGGTTGAACGCGTAGTATTGTGCGAAATCGAATGTCTGTTTTGGCACGGGCGATGTTCTGCTGCTGACAGGTGGATATTCTGACAGATCGTGGCCGGAAAAAGTTACCGCAGTTGGTGTGGGCCCACCGTTCAAGAATTCGTTATTACCAACCATAACCTCGGAAACCCTTTCGGTTATCAGGGGTCTCTGTAGGCCTTCTTCTTCTTGATGCTGTAAGGGATAGTCCTCACTTCGTTCTGGTACGAGGTGGAGCATGTCATTCTTTCGAAACTTCTGCAGCTTGTTTTTGATCCAGGGTATTGGAGCGAGTAGGTCGTAAGATATGCCCAAGAAAGTGCAGGTAATGAGGAAAGCAAGAGAGGAAAGGCATGATCTTGACAAGAACGAAGCACTCAGGTACTGTTCGATCCGTTTGCAATCTTCACCGTCCAAATAGCACCTGCTCATTTTCAAGATTGCGCCTTCTAATGAAGACTCGACCAGAGCCCTCAAGAGGATTAGGTTAACAAGAAAGAAGCAAACCATCTTCAACAATGCGGCTCTTTGCTCCCTCGACACTGTGAGATGCCGTTCGAACTTCGAAAGGTACGAGAGAGCTGATGGTACGACTATATACATGCTTACAAAGATGATGACATTAGGCAGGAATTGAAATATTATGGTAGCTACCCAGCTCGAGCTTTGCAACCAAGTCAGCCACGTCTGGGCACTGTCTATTGCTTCAGCATTGATAATTCGAGCAGCGCTTTTGATGGCACTAATCACTGCAAGAGGGGAACTGAAGAACAAAAGCAATAACAGAAGGCAAGTGTTGACGAAAAATCTGCGTACTTTCAAAGAGAACTTGGACGACCCTAAATGGTTCCAATAAATGTCACTGGCCAATGGAGCTCTCTCCACTTTCCATTGGTTTCTTTGGAGCTGCAACTCCACCAACGAAAAGAACCTCCCAATCCGCCTACTCTTCTCGTTTCGGAAATCCTGGACAGCCTTATTCGCGGCGTATACATCCTTAAACACCACAAAAGCAACTCCGGCACCTTTTGCTCGTCCTTCTTTGTAAGCTACCATCTCCATCTCTAGATCGGCTCTCAACTCTTGCAACTGCCTTAGTCTCTCCTCGTCTGAAAAACCCAACTCATGAAGAGCTCGGTACCACAAGTCCTTCACTCTCCTCCACAGAAAATGCAACTTACCCCAAAAACCCTCATCCACTGCATCCTCTACTTGCTCAACTTCATCGGCCAAGCCCTTCGATTCAATTTTCGACACCAACTTGGTAATGTTCTCCCTCACCTTCACCAACTCGGTAGCTAAATCATCTAATGCACACAAGTCCATCGGGACAACCACTTTATAAATCTTCCCCGGATACCTATGTTGAAAATACTCAACCAGGGGAGTTTTATCAAATCCTAAATTTATCGGAACCCCATGAACCATGATGGTGAAAACAGCACTGGAATTTGCACTCGGCTCACTCGGATTACCGTTTCCATCTCGAAACCGAGTTATTCTTAGCCTTCTTTCAATCTCATTTATGCCATAATGCACCAAGAAGACAACCACGACAACATATACGAAGTGCACCCAAAGCAAAGGCGAACCTTTACCGATATGATTTATGGTTGTCTTGGAGAATTCATCCGAAATTGGCGCGCTCCCCGCGTAGATATTAACTGGAAGCATAACAACGATAACCAAGGCGGCAAGGAAGAGGAGAATGGCGGAGCTGCCGCCTTCGATGAGGAGAAACTGCGCCGCGTCAGCGCCGCAGTGATGCGAAATCTCCCGGCTGGTGGCGTGCCAGACGGCGAGGAGCTTGGAGGCGATTGCGGTGGGTCCCGGCACGCGGCGGTGGTCGCTGCGAAGCTTCACGAAGACGAAGATCAACAAACAGGTCAAGGCTCCGATGGCGGAAATATTGAGAAGATACTGGATGTTTCCGTACCACGCGTCCTCGAATATTCCGTCACCGTCTCCGGGGCCGGCGGAGGGCGGCGGCGAGAGGGTGCCGTTCGCGATAGAGGGCGGTGATAACGGAGGGTCCATGGGGTTGACGAGAAAAAGAAAAGGGAATTCGCGAACGTTTCTGAATCCAATTATCGCAATCGAGGGTTTCCCGATCGCAATTGGTTTGATCGGAATTCAATAATGATTGAATTCTGATTCAATATTCATCTGAGAGGGGTTAGGGGTTCTGATTTCTCCGAGAGAGATGATGATGCGCTGGAAATATTATTGAGAATAAATTTGGGGATTTTGTTAATTTTCTATTTGTTTTTACAAAACAAATTTACTGGAAATATCAAATACTACTACATAGTCACCTTTTGGGCAAATTGGACAAATTTTTCGATCCGAAATTTCTCGATTTTGAAATAATACATTTTAATTTGAATTCCGAATTTTCAATTCCAATTTTCTTCGGATTTTTTAGATCATAATTGGAGCTGTATATATGAGATTCTGATGTCCGATTCTACAAAATATTCCGAAATTGTTGAAAATTTTGGATTTT